TCTCTCAATCAAATTCCAAGCTGCATCAAATTCAAAAAACTTGCCAAGAATGTCAATAAGCTGGTTGCAAGTTTGGATGGTATGGTGGAAGCCACACTGCTCCTCAGCCCAGTTGAAGAACTCTAAAGCTCTTCTCCAGTCATTGTTGTAACAAGAGAGCGTCTCTAGCACGATGGTGGGGTTTAGGGGTTCAAAGGAAGCACTTGTTGAACTGGTAGGAAGATTTAGAAGTGGGGATGAATGGGGGTCAGCATAGTTGGGAAAGGGAGTGGGATTGGGGGGTTTGGAGGGAGCGGAGTGATAATCGTGATGGTGAAGCAAGTTTTCTAATTGGGTGAGAAGCAAAGAAGAAGGTAAGAAAGTTGAATATCGATAAATAACAAACGAAAGCATTCTAGAAGAGTAGGAACTGGTTTTCGAATATAATCTGCAGTAACTGTGTGGTTCTCAGGAGTGCAGGAGTTAATGATTGTCCTGTAATGTAAATTACAATGATAAAAAATGTTATATTAGTTTAGCATCACCACAGAAAGGATCTCTAAACGTTAAAAATTTTGAATTTGTCCAGTATTCAGTAATGGAAGAGTGTATACTGGCAAATATTTGTTTGCTCTTGACTTATTATTGGTGTTTCTTTATAAATACTTGTAATGGGCAGTGTAATGATGTAATCAAAATTTCATTGTTTACATGTTGTCTTTCTTTTATTTACGTAATTTAGTTCGCCTTTTATTTTCTGCTAATATATATGGCTGTATATACTTTTCATCATTTCCATAAGGTTCTTCGAACATGTTTGACTAAGACATTTGTTTTATTTAGTTTTACATTTTTCAACACATAAACAAGTACTTGAATTCCAAACTATACTGTAATGCACAATTTCCAATAAAACAAAAACTCAACTGAATCCCATCTCGATCTCAACTCAATTCACAAATCACAAATCATTCATGATCACATAAAAACCATCTCTTAACACATTTCACATCCCTTGTTATGATAATTTGATTTAAGGACAAAAGGAAACTTACCAATTTACTGGAAAAATTGATGGACAACAACACAGAAGTAATTGCAGCCACTAGACCCCAGCCAGTTAGAGTTGAGGGGCTTTTGACTCTTCTTTTGTTTCTGCAAAGTAAAAAATAAGCCTCAATGCATTGACACTACCAACCAAGAAACAAAAGGAAATTTCCTGATTCAATTTACCAAACCAACGTAATACAATTTCAAGTTAGCAATTCCCCAATTCATTCCCCCACCCACCCCAAACACACACAAAAAAAACTACTAAACTTGAATATATAGTAGAACTTAACTTAAAGAACAACCCAGTTTAGCATAGATAATTCACTGTAAACTAATTTCTCAAGTTGGTAAATTTTATAATTACCTATCGTTTTAAAAAAAAATTAGAACTTTTAAAACCATAATGGAGCTGCAATCACCTCTCTCTTATTATAAGATTTCAATTTGGTTATCATAACCAATGGCGGATCCAAGATTTCAAAGTCATGGGTGCTCGTTGGAAAGAGTTGCGAAAGAAGACGGTAGAAGAATTTAGCTATGGGTGCTCACTCAGTAGTTATCTAAATTTTTTGCTAATTGCCTACGTAAATATACTAAATCTGGGTAAAGAAAATGGGTGCTTGAAGCACCCACAACTCTTCATGTGTATCCACCACTGATTATAACCTAATATATTTGATAAATTAAAGAAAAAAACATGTACGGACAATATTAATTGAAAGCTAATATTCTACAGGATATTTTTTCAAAACAGAAAATAATTAGTACTCAGCTTATGAAGTAATAATCTTAAGATGTACTTACCAAAAAAACAATAATACTCCTAATAACTTTAAGATGTGCAATTGAATTACATTGTTCTAAAATGTGAAATGGAGTCCGCTTATAAACGCTTAAACTAATTTCGTTTTTCAATTGTAACAGACTAACAGTATACATACATGAGTTTTCAGGCTTCAATAGATATAACTGAATGAATAGCTTTATTAGAGATATACTGGCCAATGGCTCAAACTCTCAATCCTTTGCAAGATCATAGCATCTTGTTCACCGACTCAAAGCATGAAATTGTAATATAAATGTTGAGATGCAGCCATGGAAGCTTCTAGGTCGAGAGAGAAGAGAGAAACAGAGAAGAGGAAGAGAAATTCATTTTTTCCTCTTTATACAACTAACTCCAANACAAGATCATAGCATCTTGTTCACCGACTCAAAGCATGAAATTGTAATATAAAACATGTGATTTTTGCATCAAGGATGAAGACTAGTAGTGTTAATTAGCACATTTCAGGATGCAACGAGTTGCAGTGTCTTCTTAAAATACGCATAGAACTAAATTAAGAACCAAAAAGACTGAGTTGGTAAATAGCTCAAATAGGTAAATCACAGAGTAAACGCTATGCGTGTTATATAAGAGAGCAAAATCAAATAAAATGGAGATATACCTTGCCTCAAGTCGGGATGCAACAGTCGAAGGCAACGAAGCTGTTTCAGTTCTGAATACGAAGAGAGAAATGGGCAGCGCGGAGGAAAATACTAGAGAGAATAAGCTAGGGTTTAAACTAAGAAGAATCAATCAGAATAAGATAGAATTGAAAAAAAAAGAACCCCCAAAATTCTTTCTTGGACAGTTGCGAATCATTGGGCTATTTATAAGTA